GGGGGGGGCATCTGTATGCTGCCAGACTAGCAGAGATGCTTGGATCAGTGCTGCTGAGAAAAATTGGGTTTATATGACAAGTGCAAATGTGGCCAGTCTAGCTGCAGTCAATATTTACGTATTCTAAACAAAAACTAAATGAGCTTTATAAAAAATATGTCACTGACCTGTGCAGCTGCAGGTATTGTGAAGCAAAATGTATCCTCCAATTTTGCAGCAGAAACCACTTTCATTTTAATTTTCTGCTCCCTCTTCCAGCAGTGTCTTGGCCGCCTAACAACCTTCTAATATTTAATGTAAACGTGGAGCAGGTGCACAGCAAGAGAGGAGTAGAGCAGGGTGCCGAGACCAGACTTGAACAGCTTTACTGCTTCTCTTGTGAACTTTGAGGATGAATTGCTCCACAGTGGCTGCAAATACAGAGGTTGTTCTGTATTTGCATATACTGCCTGAGATTCAGTCTGTACGGGACAGTATGACAACCTACTGAGCTGATGGTGTCCACAGGCCGGGTCCAACTGAGCAAGAAGACTCAGAGTGGAATCCAGAGTAGTTTATTCAGGCTTGACAACCCAGAGGATGTCATTCCTTGTCGTCTTTTCGAGCGGTAAGATATTTCTTTCTAAAGCCTTGTAATTTGTGGGTAGACCCCTCTTTAACAGTGAAGGAGAGGGTACAAAGGAAAAAAAATCAGGTCCCCCTCTGCTGATTGACAGCAGCAGTGGGCGGGTGCATTAGCTAGTTTGCTATTAGGGCAGCAGGAGGCCCAGGAGATCAACACTCTGAGAAGTGTTGTATTCCCAATGGATTTCAGAGGACCAGTGCCCAGCAACAGAGCAGCGTTACGTGGCGTGGGTGGCAGGAGAACTATTCAGTCTCTTCTTTATAGGAATGGGCTTTCCTTAAATACTTTTAGTACATGATTGGGCTTGTCTTTGCTTTGTGAATTGTGCCTTTTGTCTCTTCAAAAAACGACCACAGATATTACATTCAGGGATCTAAAGGTGCATGTTCATACCTGCAGCAGATTCAAAAGGTCTGCAGATACGGCCAAATGGTGGGCTGTTGTAAACCTTTAAGTGTCCGTCTCTGCCTACTACACATCTCTGATGGTCAACGAGTCTGGGAGTGGGGGGAGCAATATAGACCATTTTAACTTCTAGATTTCTTTTTTTCTGCATTGGAAGTGACGACATCCTTTCAGAGTAACAGTTGTTCCATACCCTATAGTTGTCTTAACAGTTTAATACACTTTGTGTCTCCAAGTATCTATTTTACATGATGTCTTCTTATAATGAGATATTGTAGTGAAGAGGCGCTGCTGCCCCTGTAATTTCCTGCAGAACACTTTATACTGGATATAGTAATTACAGCATTTCTTCCTTGTGGCAGCAGAGAGATTGATTTTCGTAGTTTCTATTTCAGTTGTGACTTTGATATGTTTTGTGCGGGAAATAAAATCTCTCCTTACAAGTAACCGAGCTGAGACTGTTACCCGGCTTACTGGCAATATGACGATATTTAGGATTAAAGCACGCGCTTTCCCTATGGGTTATGTGATGTTTGGGGAATATAGCACATATGTGCTTAAGGACCAGTCTTGAAATCATGTTCACATAAATAGGACAGTCTTTTATTGCTCTTGTAACAGAAAATAACTTTCTAGAGCAACACAACATGCAATCTGCTTATATTGCTGGAAGTAGACAATAGATAATATAACAATATCTCACCAACTCAAAATTGTCACATATACTCCACGTGACTCTTCCACACATCCCTTGTGTGTCACAGGCTCACTAAGCCCCTTTGGCTTATTCCCAGGTGTGCACACAACCACCTGGCTCCCCTCTGGCTTCTGGGTGGAGTCCTGCCGACTCCTGGACAGAACCTGTCCCTCTTCCCAGCAGGAGCCCTCATGTGCCTGCAGCCCACACCAACCCCTCCCTTGAGCTCTGGTCTGGGCTCTTAATGAGCTTGCTCTCTTCCACCTGATGACTGGCAACACCTGACCTCCGGACTGAAGATTTCATCCCACCCAGAACTCTAAGGGTTAGTTCACACCATATGCAGTGCGTTCCGGTCCGATTCTGGCTGGAACGCACTGCATCGAATCCCGGCCGGCTCACTTTTTTTGTGGGGCAGGAGGGGGCGTGGTGGGTCATTGAAGTGAATGGCACCGTAGCCACGCCCTCCGGCCGCAATGCAATCGCCCGCACGGGATCACAATGCACATTGTGCCTGTGGTCCAGTGCGGTCAAAATAGTGCTTGCAGCATAAACACTAATTTATGTGGCCGCATGCACAAAATTATTATTGAGGTGGCTGCCTTTACCATGCAAGGTGTCAAGGAAACACTTGTGGTAGAGATGCGCATAGGTGGAGGCGGATAGTTTATTCAAACTCTGTTTAAAGGAGAACTATGTGGGTAAGTGTTTTTCCCCATAGTTCTCCTTAGGGTAACGGAAGGACACAAACTATCGTCCACCCGTCACCCTAGGCTCAGTATAACCCCTATTCAAGTTTGGCTTCTCCATTTCTACATAAATGGCCTCTTTCACACCTCTTTTAAACCAGTCCTCTTCCCTAGGATGTGTACTTGACTGTCTTTAAAGGAGCGACCTTTTTCCTTTTAGATGTAGGTATACTTTTTTTTTGTACAAGTCATTCTGAATTGGGAAAGCTGGTTGGACGACCAGGGAAACGTCTTCAAGAAAAATACAGCAAGTCCAGCTGCCTTGACTTATCTTTTACAGATATACCATGACTTGGATGAATTAGAACAAAGCACAAACAGGGGGCGCCTTTCCTGGTGCAGATAAGTTTTATTCAAATGCAGGTAGACAAAAAAGAAAAGTACTCACAAAAATCAAAATTATTAAAAGCCAAAGGACTGTCAGCCGGAATAAGGCAAGTGGAAGTCAGCGATGCAGTTCCTATGTGCCAGTGTAGAGCTATCTGCGTTGGCGTGTTTCCGGGGCTCGCCCCCTTCGTCAGAGGGTGTTCTGACGAAGGGGGCATGCCCCGGAAACGCGTCAACGCAGATAGCTCTACACTGGCACATAGTAACTGCATCGCTGACTTCCACTTGCCTTATTCCGGCTGAAAGTCCTTTGGCTTTTAATAATTTTGACTTTTGTGAGTACTTTTCTTTTTTGTCTACCTGCATTTGAATAAAACTTATCTGCACCAGGAAAGGTGCCCCCTGTGTGTGCTTTCTTCTAGATATTACAGTCCCCCTGGCTGAAGTGGGGCAGCATCCTGCAGTATGCATATCATTATGCTCCTCTGAGGAGTGATTGTCCTTGGCGCTTCTTGTTTCAAATTGGATGAATTAGAACCTTCACAGACAAATTGATCGGATGACTCTTCATAACATTCCGGAGTATATGCAAATTGCGTCGTACAAACTGAAGCAGCAGACTTTGTGAAAATTAATATTTGTGTAATTCTCAAACCTTTTGGCCAGGGCTGTAGTATCTTCTGTTAGCGGGTGGTTGCATTTTATTTTCTCCATAGCAACAAGGTCACTTTAAGGGTAATCTAGAGAATAAAAATGATATTTGTAATAATTTTGTTTTTTTTACAGATGTAGCAAATCTAGTTCAAAATTCTATTTTTTTTTGTCTCCATGCAGTTTAGAAAAAATCCCTCAAGGGCATTCCCACAATTCTGTTGGCATACAGAGACGCCGCAGTATACCGCGAGCTGCTGCTCACGGTATACTGAGACGCCGCTGCTGATGCGGATCCCGGCAATGATGCCTATCTAGAGGCAGAGCCAGCTGTACCCGCCCCCTCCCCCGTCCGTTCCGCCAGTCAGCGCTGGCGGATCGGAGCAGGGAGGAGGGAATCCAGCCCCTCCCCTGTCACGGCAGAGAGCTGTGACAGGATCGAGAGGTGAGCGAACGCCGGTATGTGTTCGCTCACCTCCTGATCTACTGAGCCGACCTGTGACAGTCTCATTGTCACAGGTCGGCTAGAACTATGAGGTGAGTGAAAAGCACTCACCTCATGCATTCCTTATACACATCTCTCACACTTTACATTCATAGCTCATACTTCACCCTATCAAAGCAGTGCGTCACTGACTGCGATTCAGTGCTAACTAAGTAATAACAATGTCTGCCCACCTATTAGAAAAAATCAAGTGTTATTACCATGAAAGTATAGTTGGCCTTTAGGTCCCCTTCAGACCTATGTGTTGCGGTAGACTAGCACCATCTACTACAGTAATACCCAGTGGGAAGCTTTCAGTTCCTGCAGCAAGTGAGTCTGTGTTGCAATGGGACATAGCCTTCCTACCCCATGGCTGTGGGTTACGCAGGCACTAATTGCAGCTCACACCACAAACCCTCTTGCTCAACTTCTGTTGCTGGCCAGGAGAACTGCAATCTGGAGTTACAGCTGACCTTGTGGAAGCACCATTCACCACTGCACCTGTAACCCAACCACGGAACCAGCACCTCCTCATCATTGTGCCTACACCCCTCTTACCAGAATGTCCAAAGTCTTCCCACCATTGGGCTTTCACTCCTCCCCACACCCTCTCACTATCACAGCTTACCCCATCCTTCTCCTTGTGCATCAGAAGCGCACCACCTTCCCACTCACCACTGAAGCTGACCCCCATCCTCTCCCCCCTACTCTCACCACCTCTCCCACAAGCCCCCCTACTTAACTTTTCACTGCATGCAACGTTCGCCGCTTTCCTCACTACCAGTGCACCAACACCTGCCTTAGCACATGCCACCACAATGTATACTTCTGAGTTCTCTCCTACTGCAGTGATGTATTCTTTCTTATTTGACCCATTCAATGAGCGGGCACTCTTTAGTGGGAAATGGTAATTAAAAAACAAAAACAAAATTATGTGAGCCATCTGTTTAAAGCCTTAGTTCTCAACTGGCGGGTCGTGACCCAAAAGTGGGTTGCAACTCCGTCTTCAATGGGTCGCTGCATGACTTACACTTTTCTAGGTGAGAGGCTTTTCAGCCTCCCTCTAGTACAGCACTGTCAGTTCCTGCGCCAAGCAGCCATTCAGAATATTCTGCCCAGCACCGAGTGTCAGCTTGAGGTGGGATGGAATGAGGCTATGGCCGCGAGGGAGCTCCATCCATATGTGCATTGCTTACAGCTTCCTCACATGTCCTGTAGAGGTGCCTGGACCGGAGTGAAATCACATTCTGGCTCCCGGCACCTCTACAGGGTGAGCAAGGGAGCTGTACCAGCAATGCACACATGGATGGAGCTTCGTCACAGCACAGCAGCTCACACTGGATCCCAGGCTGAGGATCCAATCCAATTCTGGTAAAGAAGGAAGACTGGGTGGACCTTTATAAAAAAAAAAGTAAGATTGTATCTGTGGTTGTGTGTCTGTCAGTGTTTTTGAGGGCCCGTTCACACTAGTACAGTGCATTAATCACATAGTCCTGAGCGATTAATGCACTGTGCCACGCAATCACACCTACTACGCATTCTAGTGTGGGAGGTATGTTGCGTTGCCATTATGAATAGTACCTCAAATGCACCTCCCACCCACAGTTCAATCGCCCGCACCAGAACGCATGGTACCGCAATGCTGTGCGTTCTATTGCAGTGCGACTTAATCACCAAGGACAAATATGGGTCCTGAGGTTACACAGGTTGAGAACCACTGGACTAAAGTGACTCTTTCACCAGGTAAAAAAAAAATATATATCTTCGCTCTCTTCTGGAGAAATGGTCTTTTCACATTTGACACCCATCGGGGTCCCCTGCCATGCTCTGCGGTTTCCTTCCACCAACCCCTACATCACTAGAGGACACAGCAGTGACATAAGGGGTCAGCGGATGGAACCACAGCATGTGGCAGGACATCTGACACTGCTAGAAATGCCGAATGTGAAGGTTTTTTTAGCTGGTCTTGGCTCTTTAGCAAAGCGAAGATTGAAGGGTCAGGACAGGCGAGCATAAACCTTCTGAAGATCATACTTATTCATCGTATTTCCTAACTTGGCGACAGAGTCGCTTTCAGCACTTTAAAAGCATAAAATGACTCCAAAAACATTTTAATCTCACTTTATATGAGCCAAGTTGTGTTAACATGCTTATATTATTAAAAGACTAAGAACTGCAACTGGAGCTACATATCTCAATTGTAATGTTCTATTGATGTCTTGATGAACAGGTCTAGAATCTGGGTCATGGTGAAAATCCTTCACCGTTTTATATTGAATGGATGCCCAGGGAAGAGTTCTCTGATCTAAGAGGCCTCTCAGGCTGATAGATTGGTCAATCCTTTGAGATGTGATATCCAGAATGCCCATTATTGAGCAGAAAATCTAAGCAAGCTTTTATTGAACCTGCCATGCGGGAATTGGAGCTCTCTTGCAGGATTTTATCAATAAATCTGCATTTGTTGTGGGCGCTCCCGATTCTCACTGTCCTGAATAAAGCCCAGAAGGATTATAGTGTGCCTAGCAATGGCTTACTCTCAATCCACCAACACAGAGATAGAGACATGTGAACAAAATAACTAAGATTATTGCTGCCTGCTGTCCCTTTAACTCCTCTTTGTATTACCTGCAGACTGAAGGAGAGACTGTAGTTCTGCTGCTCTTTCCATAAAATGCAACTCCGTATCCGATACCGATGCCGGAAGTCCCATTAAGGAAGCCAGGTGGCGTGTAATGACTCGCCACCTGGGTTCCTGATTAGCCGGGCAGCGTGTAAAGACTCGTCACCTGGCTTCCCGATTAGCAGGGAAGCCGAAAATGTTTAAGGTACTTGAATGTATTTGGAAGATTTAATTCTGTGCATTGAAATTATATATCAAACAATGTTACCAACCTTCCAAGCTGTCTTCTGTGAACTACAACCCCCATGCAATTAAGGTGTGGGGGGGTTGGGTGTTTCTCCATATCAGAAGAGCAGGATAGGGGTGACGCTTCTCCTCCTCCATGGATACAGTTTAATAAGCGTTGTCACTCTAGGACAGGGAGTGCGTTATAGGCAGGATCACCAGGAAAATAGCATGAAATAAGGAAACTAATGCAGCTGCCACATCTAAGTACTGGTATGCTGCAATCTATTACATATTTGTTTTTGGGTTTCAATACACTTTTGTGTATAAAATACTCCTGTGGTCCTAACATTTTTAAATAACTTTGTGTTTACAGAACTCTGATATTCCAAAATCATTTTGGTGTCCCTTTATCTCATGGCATTCTTGTAATCTTGATTTCATTGCATTGTTTTCCTAGACATTTAAATACAGCGAAGGAAGGATTTACACAAGCCAGTCTGGGCCTTCTGGCAAACCAGAGGAAACGTCAGCTATTGATTGACCTGCTGAAGTCCCTGAGAACAATTAAAACCCTGGTAATGTCCACTGAAATCTTCATCATGTTGTCATTTTGTGGATTTACAGTTGTACAGAGCTTGACCTTTCTTTTCTCTCTTCTCCACTCAGCAAAGAACTGATGTACGCCTCAGTGAGATGCTGGAGGTAAATACAGTTCATTTTTTTTCTGGGATTGATTTTGTGGGATGAGATTAAAGCACATCTTTTGTCTTGGAGGATGTGACGCTTGTGAAATGCCCTTTCTTACTTTTGGAAAGGACATAATCATTTTCACCTCCTGTACCAACACAGCCAGACTTCTTTTGGGGGTAAGCGTCTCCTTTTTGCAGTCTGCTGCTGTTATGACATTAAGGCCCAACAGGTTTCACACTTGTACCGCTAGGCTGGCCGACCCTCTCCCTATAAGCCCCATTTGCCCCGCCCCGTGTTTATTATTTATTTTATTTTTTTCCTTTTTTTAAATTTTTTTTTATATAAAACTTTTCTAAAGTCATTATTATTATTGCCAGTCACGTGATGTTGCAGGGTTCGTTTTGCATCTGTTCCGGGCTGGGAAGTCCTTACTGATGCAGAAAGTAGTGCTGGCGTGATGCCATCAGTGACACTTTCTGCACCAGTACACTGTGAATAAAGGGTGGTTTGGTGTTAGGCTTGGACTCCTAAAACCCTGCGTTCACAGTAGAGTCCTCAGTCTTCCAGGTTGAGTGACATGGGCTTCATGCATCCTAGAAGACTGAGGACATTTTGTGGGGAAGAAGTGTGACTGCGGAGGATAGCTCCGTTTTGAAAGTGAGTACTGAAGCCTAAACCTGAGAGTATTGAAGCCCACAGGCTGGGGATCATTTTTGGTAAACAATGTTTTTTGGGGGGCTTTATAAGGAAACAATAATGATTTTGGGTAAATATTTTTGTGGTTTCTAAACATATTTAAAATGATATGCATCAGTGCACACAACCTTTGTTTTACAGGTACAGATTAATACATAACAAAGGATTCTCAGAGCAGTACGGGCAGCATTGGCAGGCTGCCTTGACGCACCTCTGCGCATAATTACACTTTGGACTGAGCTATCTAATAATAGAAATCTATAAGGCCGCTCCTAAGCTTCCTGTCAGCCCCACATCTCCGGTGGCAGTGACAGAGCCCCTGGGGTTCTTTCTCTGCCTGCAGCCACACAGATAAATCCAGAAGAAAGGCCGCACTCTGCTATGTTTGCAATTGTTCCAATGAGCAAATCCAGTTGGGAGGAATTGCAGACAGCGCGGAGTTCGTTTTTTCTATTGTATTTATCTGTAAGATGTCAAATAAGTCACTCTGAGTCATTCGGCTGTGTACATTTCAGATTGAGCTATTGGGATCTATTAACACACTCTTTATCAACCGACTGTTAGTATTTTTTGCATATTTTTCTAAAGAACTGAAAACAAACTAAAGTTTTCTTTTAAAGTCATTTTTTTTTTCCATAGTCCTTGTGCAACTTGCTTTTCAGCTGTTCTCCACATGAAGCGTCTGAGATAACCCTACAATATATTGCAGTTCTCCGGGACATGGAGCCTCAATGTATAAATCATTTCAGTCGAGAATCTTAAGTTAAGGCTTTGCTGTTAAAATAATGGTAAAAGAGATTGATTCCTAAGCTGGTTTTATATGGTTGTGCTTTTTGAGTTTTATCTGGTCGTACAGCCTTAGCGCCGTATTTCAAAATATCACTGTGATTAGTTTTCTTCCTTCCCCTCTCCCATACATCCAGAGAAGACTTTGATTCCATTTTTCAACAGTTCCCCTGCCATACATAGCCCGCATTGCCGTTGATGGATGACAGAGTGATTGTGTGCTGGTACTCATTCATCCAAACACATTTAGTGCTTCTGTGAATCTACATTGCTATGTGTTTTTAACCACCTCAATACCAGGATGTTACAC